TGATAATAATAGTAATAATAATAATTATTATTATTATCATAACAACAACAACAATGATAATAATATCAAAAATAGTCATAATAATTATCATCATCATTATTGTCATTAACATTTCTGGAACAAAAAGTCAAACAAACTTACGATAAATTTGATCCTCATTGTAGGATAAGGAATAATAATCGTTTCCATATTGTAATTGGCGCAGACTTTTTGAACTTCGACGACTTCGCCCTCAACAGTCACTGGAAGGAATTAGAAACAAAATGTGTCAAAAAATATCATTTCTACATTGACGTATTATCATTATCATTAAAAATTTCATCCATGGGTTTGTCAATTTGGATTGATGTTGAATCATATTTTTCATGATATTAATTTTGTTTTTAAATTTATTCATTTATTCACATTTTATTTTATTTCCTTTTGTTTGGCGATGGGATGTTATTATTATATTTTAAAACATGATGGTTGTTTTCTCTCCCACTTTCAGTAGATTTTTAGCAATGGCAGGAAATGAAAGGTAAATCGTACACGAATTTTCACTTATGGAAAATAACAAATGTGAAAGTAAAGAACACATAAGATATTTATGTTAAGCCTCTTATAAAGGATCTTCATACTCCATTTTCCTTATCAAATACTATAACACTATTTCTCTATGTTTTACTGAGGTCTTTCCCTAAGTCTTATCCAGGTCTTTCTCGCATATTTCTTTATCTATTTATCCCTCTCAGTATAATCAAGACATATGTTACCTTTCACTCAATCCACGCTCCTTTTCCTTTATTCTAATATAGCCTTTTTTTATCTACAAATATCCAAACACATGCAATCCTTTACTCAACCCAAGCACCCATTTTCCTTTGAGTTAATTTTGGCTTTCCTTCAAATTTTATCCAGGACATCTTACCCTACACTCAACCCAAAGACTTCCTTTCATTTGTTATTTTCTAGAATTTTTTCTCTTTCTATTATCCAAACACATGTTACTCTTCACTAAAGATATCTCTTTCCCTCTACTATCTTTTGTCTCCTTCATATATTATCCAGGACCCAGGCACTTACCCTACACTCAACTTGGGGACTCCCTTTCCTTTATTTTCTACTTCATTCTGTCTCCTTCTCCATATATTATCCAGGACCCTGGCACCTTACACACAACCCAGGCACTTGCCCTACACTCAATCCGGACTCCCTCTCTTTGTTATTTTCTAGATTTTTTCTCTTTCTATTATCCAAACACTTGTTACTCTTCACTCAAGACATCTCTTTCCCTCTACTTTCTTTTGTCTCCTTCTCCATATATTACCCAGGACCCAGGCATCTTACACACAACCCAGGCACTCCTTTCCCTCAATCTTGTCCACGCCCCAATCATCCCAAAGTCATTTCCTGTATATTTTCTTACCTCCTTCAATCGTGATGAAGTCGTAGCAGCGTTCCTCTAAGTGAAGATGGGTGATGGAGACGCTGAAGGAGGAGTTCAGGGAATTGAGGTTGTCCAGGGTCCACACGCAGTAAAGGCCGTGGGGATATCCTCCCTCTGCTGTAGGCGACGACAGTGCGCCAGAGGGGTACTCAAGCTGCCCACCACAGTCTATTAAGGGGAAGGATTGGTTAGCTGTAATCACGCACAAACACATACACACACACGCGCGCACACACATACACATAACCCTCCTCCCTGCTCCCCAATCGCTCCTAACACACAACCCCCATTCCCTACCCTACACCACACAATACTCCTGCCCCTCAACCCCTACATACCCCCCTCCCCCCAAAGACACACACCCACCCACCTTGAGGTTTCGTCGGAAGTCCAGCGCAGGCGGAAACCCCGGCCGGAAGAGAAACCCCGGTGTGACGTAAACCTCACTGAAGCTACGTTCATGGTTGTGTTGAAGAAACGGTCGCTCAGTCTCTGGTGGAGAGGGAGAGAGAGAGGGTCGTTGGTGATGGGAAACTAGGCAGGAGGGAAAGGGGAAAGGGAGA